TTGAACAGCTGATCTTGTGGTTAGCAGTCTAACACTTAACCCACTACACCACCAGGGCTCCTTGTTAACTGATACAGAAACTACCAAAGAAAACCTAATTTTTTAGATTTTTACTTTGTCTTGGGGAAGACAATCACTTCACATGTACCACCCACTAAACCACTGCCATTCAGTCCATTCTGGCTCATAGTGACCCTAGGGGACACCCACCAACTTCCTGAAAATCAGGAGCCCTAGAGGAATTTGCTGTTGCCAGCATGGGTGGGAGAGGGGCACACTAAATGTACATTTTAGAAAGCTGGGTACATTTTTCTAGAAGAGAGGGGTAAGATTGCCACAGGGACATGTTCCCATCTTCTGCCATATCCTTGGGTCCTGTACTCAGTCCAAAACCTTGCAAGGCTGATGCATAAAAGGAGATGCTCCACCCAGCCTGTCTCCACCCTACACAGCAGCTAATCTCTTCGCAGATCAAAATTGAGCTCTTAACAATGTGCCAAGCCCTGTGCTAAATAGTTTACAGGACTTATTTTATGTAATTCCCCATGGCAACTTTGTTGTTGTTGTTGCTAAGTGCCATCGAGTCGATTCCAACCCATAGCGACCCTGTATAGGGTTTTTCCAAGGAGCAGCTGGTGAGCTTGAAGCACTGACTGCAGTCTGACGCATTAGCCCACAGCGCCACACTGCCCCATTTTATAAATGAGGATCTGCAGAAATTGATCACTTGCCCAAGATCACAGGCCCTAATAGGTAGCAGATCCACTTGACTGAGTACAGATCTAGACGGACGGACTCTCAGACTCCTGAGAGGTACCTGCCTGCTCTTCTCTATGCCGAGGTGATCAGTGGTAAAGGTGGCAGGGGTCAGCAGAGCATTGCTGTGGTTCTACAGGCTCCATACACTCTCCCTTCCTCATTTAACACCTGAAGACCTGGAAATGCCAGAGACTGACTGCACCGCTGTGGATTCTTCTGTTAATGAGAAAGCCTCCTTTCAAATGAGTTGTTTCCTTCAAAAGGAAGGAAAAAATATTTTTTTAAGACTTCAGTAGAAATGCCCATGATCATCCAGAGCCCACCACTACCCCACCACCCACCAGACACAACCACTACCCCCTGATCCTGCTTAGGTCTCCAAACCCTATACCAGGAAGCCCTGCTTCTGGAAGACCTGACATCCAGCCTCACTTGGCAGGAATAGACTTGCCCCTTCAGATGTCAGCCATTTATCTGGTTGTCTTCATCTACTAGGTGGGGCTTTCATGTAGACTCTGTCTTGTCCCGTCTCTCCTTCTTCTCCAACAGTTTTTCTCTTCCTTGCCATTATTTGTCTTTCTCTTTTTTCTCACTCTCTAACCTGTTTTTTTTTTTTTTCTTCACCCTACTTATAGAGCCTCTGTCTGATCCATTTGGGCCATTTCTCTTCAGATACTCCCTGTCATGAGAGTCAATATTAAGCTGAGCTATACCCATCTTATTCCCTAACCAATACCAGAGCTTGAATCTGTACTCAGTCAAGTGGATCTGCTACCTATTAGGGCTTGGCTGTTTCCTGCTAGTGTATTCAGATTTGGGTCTTTAACAGCTTTATTGAGGTATATAATTACGCACAGTGAAATTCAGCCATTTGAAGTGCAATATAGACCAGTGACTTGGCAAATGTATACAGGCATGTAATCACCACCAGAATCAAGATAGATGATATTTCCATCACCCCAAAAATTGTTTTCTTGTGAACCTTTATAATTAGTCCCCTCCCTCCACCCCTGGTGTGGGGCTGTGGGTTAATGCGCCAGAGTGCAAAGCTGTTTGAACTGCAAGGTCAGCGGGTCAAGCTCACCAGCTGCTCTTTGGAAATATACAGGGTCACTATGGGTCGGAAGCAAATCGATGGCACTTAACAACAACAACAACAACTCCACCCCTAGTCCCCATCAAGTCCCCAGCAACTTCTAATCTATTTTCTGTCACTATGGTCATTTTTTATAATGCATTTAAATGGTATCGCTTAGTATTTAGGCGCTTCTGTCCTGCTTCTTTTATATAGGAGGATACTTTTGAAACTTATCCATGTTGTTACATATGTTGCTTAAGACTATTCCACTGTGTGGTCATGTCATAACTTGTTTATTCAGTCACTAGTTAACTTTGGATAGTTTCAAGTTTGGTGTTAAATTGACCAAAGTTGTTATCAACATCCATATACAAGTCCTGATGTGGACATATGCTTTCATTTCTCCAAAGTAAATACTTGTGAATGAGATAGCTGAGTGGTGTGGTAAGTGTACCTTAATTTTATAATAAATGACTAATCTGTTTTCCAACATGATGGTACTATTTTATATTACCTTCACCAGTGTATAAGAGCTCCAGTTGATCTACATGCTCCCCAACATTTAATATGATCAGTCTTGTTCATTTTAGCTATTCTAATGTGGCTCTGTGGGTTAATGCACTGGACTGCAAAGCCAGTTTGAATCACAAGGTTGACGGTTCCAGCTCACTAACTGCTCCTTGGAAACCCTATATGGGGTCGCTATGGGTTGGAACCTACTCAACAGCACTTAACAACAACAACAATATGTATATGGAATCCTGGTGTAGAGCTGTAGTATAAATACTGTACTGCTAACAACAAGGTTGCTAGTTCAAACCCACCAGTTGCTCGTTGGAAACTCTATGTAAGTTGCTGTGCCTTCTTGGCGGCACTTGACAACAACAATATGTATATAGTGGTTTTGATATGCATTTCTTTGATAATTATTGATAATGAGCATCTTTCATATCTGATCGGCCACTCAATATATCTTCTTTTGTGGTATCTTTGGCCCATTTTTAACTGTGTTGTTTGTATTCTTATTAAAAGGTTCTAAGATTTTCTCCAATCATTTTTATCTCCCTGTTTTCTTTTTCCTCCCTCCCTCTTGATCTATCTTTTCTTCTGTTCTGTCTCTGTCCCAGTTTCTGACTCTTTGCATCTACTCTCAAGATTCCATCATCTCTTCCTTTCCCTCTCTCCCTCTCCTTTGCCTTTCTTCTCTTCCACTCATGTTCTCCCTTCTGTCCCCCAGAACACTTCAAAACTTGAGAACCTTGCCACCTTTCACATTTCATACTGAAATAACTCCATCATAGATTTTATTCCTGGCCAGATTCAATGTTATACAGGGAAAAGATCTCTTATCCATATGAAGGCTCAGAGAAGTACAAAAACTGAGCCAGATATGAATGGAGGGATGGCTTTGCATTCAGGCAACTTCCTCCTCCATGATTGAAGGTCTTTTTGCTCAAACGTAACATTTGAAAGGCATGTGTATTATGTGAAGTTCATCTTGCTTAATCAGTAGTCCAGCTGTCTCCACAAACATAAGATTAGTTGTCCACGTAATAAGGCTCTCCCTTGGCACTTGTCCCAAGCCCAGCAGGGATTTACCTTGCCCAGGCATAGGGAAGAAGCAGCCTAGCCCAAAGCCAGCTCCTTTTCATCTTTGTGTGAGAGATGATGTGACAGATTTGACTGCAAAGCTCAGATGTTCATATACAGTGTGAGAGTGCCCCTGATGGGGAATCTTAGAATGGTTTTATTTGTTTTAACAGCTTTACTGAGATTTAATTCATATACTCTATAATTTACTTATTTGAAGTGTCCAATTTGATGGGATTTAGTATAATAATAAGAGCTCTGGTAGTATAGTAGGTTATGAGTTGGGCTGCTAACTGCAAGGTCAGCAGTTCAAACCTACCAGTCACTCCATGGGAGAAAGATTAGATTTTCTGCTCCCATAAAGATTTACAGACTCAGAAACCCTATACAGAGTCTCTATGGGTCAGAACTGACTCCATGGCACACCACCTCCACCTGTGTAATAACAGATGCATGTAAATATCACCACAGTCCTCTTAGAACATTTTATCACCTCAGAAGAAAACCCTGTGCCCTTCACCTGTCACTTCCCTATTCTCCCAGCCCCTGAAAACTACTCATCTGCTCTCTGTCTCGATAGATCTGCCTTTTCTGGACATTTCATTAAATGGAACCATATCATATAATACCACTCTTTGGGGACTAGCTGTTTTCACTTAGCGTGATGTTTTCACAGTTCATCCATGTTGTAGCATGTTGCTGTTGTTAAATACCCTTGAGTCAGTTCCAACTCATCGCCACACTATAAAGGGTTTCCAAGGAGCAGCTGGTGGGTCCGAACTGCTCACCTTGTGACCAGCCCAGTGTTGATCCAACAGAACCACATAAAAAGGAGTCAGTACTTTGTTCCTTTTTATGGCTGGAAAAAGTAGCCAATTTCCATGAGATTTTATCATTGTTGTTCCTTCTTTCAGCAGCCTAAAAAAAAAAAATGAAAGTAATTAAGAATCATCATCTTTAAGTCATTGGACAAACTGTCATGTACACATGTGTGTATGTGCATGTGTGTGTGATATAGCAGTTTGAGTAGAAGCTCAGAAGCCAGAATGCCTGGTTTTAAACTTTCTGGTTGTGTTTTAGTTTCTCATCTGAAAATGAGGATAATGGTAATACCTCCCTCTCACAAGGCATTGTAAGGATTTCATTAGTTAATATCTATAAAGAACTAAAAATTACCTGGCCAATGTTAATCTCTCAATACATATCACACATCACTTTCAGACATTACATTTGCATTGACGAAGATGCGTGTGTTGGAAGGCGGGTGAGGACCTGGGTAGAATGAAGCGCATGCCAGTTTCTTGTTGACTGTAAATTGAGCAGGTTGTCGTCTTCTGCCGTATCTGCACAGTACTTTGGACTGCTGCTCTGGCCTGCCACCCTGGCAGCTCATAAACCAGTTCCTCTCTTTCCCACTCTGCCCAAGCCACTAGCTGCAGGGAAGACAGTGGATGGGTAGTGTTGGGCCTGGCCTATGGTTTCCAGCTGCATTTGGCCATTCTGCATCAACTCTAGGTACTGCCAAGCTCACTGGCTCTGTTTGGCTGTCTTTTCTTTATGTGTGTCTGTATAGGTCAGCACTTACCACCCTGTACCAGCCTCCCCCAGACATTCCACAGCCATCGTCAGCCTGCCCGGTTCTCAGCACCACCTCTCAGCTAACATGTAAGTAGAAAGCTCCACCCTCTACTCCTGGTTCTAGAGCAGTGTGGTCTCTGCTTATCCCTCAGCCATCGAGCATCACCACTCCCAAATCATGCCATCCAAAGAGACAGCAGCTCCCTTTCTCTTACAACCCCTATAGGAAACAATGTTGAAGAGCAATTTAGCTTACCACACCATCCTAGCTCCCTGTTTTACAGAAGTAGATAAAGACTGGAAGATTATAGACTGAAACATCCCTCGGAGAATGGGATATTGAGCAATTTTGTCTTCTCTTAGATTCAAAATGTTGTTCATAAATAGATCTTGCTTTAATAATCAGTGAGATACAGAGCATTTTAGGAAGGCAAAAAGAGAGAGTTGTATGCAGATAAAAGTATTCCACTAGCCCCTTTGATAAAACATTCCATTCAGAATCTAGAAGGCCTTCCTGAAGGTCATAGTCTTGTAGCTTCTAATATGGAAGCCAAAGTGGGTTCTTTTTTTAATACAATTAAGCAGATAATCGTACTATTCTCTGTTGTATTCAGACCTCTCTATTCACACCCCTGACTCATACTTGGATGTCACTGGCTTGATTACCAGGTGGGCTAGAGAATGGTCTGCCCTGAGGACACTTTTGCTATTTTACAAGCCCATTCTGCTTCTGCCCATCATGCAGCCATTATTCCATGAGTTCCAAAAAGCAATTAGCCCCTCCTCCTACTTCTCAATGTCCACTTCCCAGCCTCCATTAAGCTCAGTCCTCTGGCCATTCCCAGAGTCAAACATGTACCTACTCTCAGGGGAGGGAGTAAGGTCAGGGAGACTTCTATTCTGACTTCTCATTTCTCTGGACCTTGCTGGCCACTACCATTGTCTCACAGAATACTCCAAGATGATCAATGAAAAAAGTGTCTTAGTTTGAGCCCTTAGGTCTGAGACTTGGCTCAGCCTCTAATTCCTGGTAGCCAACTTCATTCTCTAGTCTAAGTCTGTTTCCCTATTGTTAAAATGTCAAGGTTGGCCTGTTATTTTTAGCTGTGTGTCACCCTCTGGGGGAAGAAATGATGAAGAGGGCTGGGATCTGAATCCCTTATTTTCCCCTCTGCCCCCTGCAATTCCCACCAGATTGTGCTATTTTTTATATGCCTTAATTATCGAGGAATCCACTGGTTCTGGGCTTCTGTCTCCCTTGGCCATTCTCTGGCTTTATACCCTCTGTGGGCAGGCTCACCTACTTCCTTCACCAGGATCCCTCTGTCGCCCCAGGTTTGTAGCCCTGCACTCCTACACAGCCCACGGGCCCGATGAGCTGGACCTACAGAAGGGAGAAGGCATCAGGGTCCTGGACAAGGACCAGCACGGCTGGCTCAGGGGCGTCTCCTTAGTCACTGGGCGAGTTGGCATCTTCCCAAACAACTATGTCATCCCCATTTTCAGGTGCGTCCCTTTCAATCTCAGCGTCACAAGGTTGGGTCGTCCTAGGCCAGGGACCATCTGCGGATTGAATTGATGAAGAACTCAAGACTGTTTTAAGAGTGTGGGCCCCAAACAGTTTTGCCCTCATACCCACCTAACACCTAATTTAAACAAAGAAAAATATAGCTCTTCACAGTTTACAATCACTTTCACATCTTTTAAATCTTTGGCTTTGCCCCCAAATCCTGTAAGGTAGCTAATATTTTACAGATGAAGAAACTGACCTTCAGAACTAAACTTGTTTAAGAACTAGATTTCAGGTTTTTTGTGGCATGCTGTTGTTGTTGGTTGGTTGTTGATTATGTGCCATGGAGTCGGTTCCTACTCATAGCGACCCTGTACAGGACTTCTGAGGCTGTAAATCTTTACGGGAGCAGAAAGCCTCATCTTTCTCCCACGGAACAGCTGGTAATGTCGAACCTTAGGGTTCACAGCCCAATTCGTAACCATAACACCCAGAAATTTCCACTTTGCATCATCCTCCCCAACTCTCCTGGTGTGGTGCTATAGGATAAGCACTTGACTGCAAGGTCAGTTTGAACCCCAACACTGACATTTCAAATTCACCAGCCACTCCTCAGAAACCGTAAGCAGGGAGGGTCCCTGTGAGTCAGAACTGACTCGAAAACACTAATAACAGCCACCCCAACACTCCACCTACTGGTATAATGGAAAACTGTGATGATGAGTTGACCTCAGAGCACCTTGGGAAATTTCCCCAGTATTCCAAGCCACTAGACATTGCCCATGGACTCAAACCACTATTAGTCCACCCACACCTCAAATCAAATGCCAGTTATTCTTCAGGTCCACTTCTCTTAACCGTTTTCCCAACCCTTTCCATTCGGGAGGGTAGCTCTCAGTTTCACCAGTCCAGTTTGTCCAGCGACCTTACCTCATAACCACATATGCACACAGACTCCCCAAACCACCTCTGATTTTTTCTACCTCCATCTCCAACAGCCTAGTCAAGCCTATCACTAGGCAGTGAGCCTATCTCTCTGCATCAGATGGTATCTTTATGACATAGCAGAGTCACAACACAAAGATAAGACATAGTCCCATTGTAGTCTGCCAGGATAAGAGCTGGAGTCACATGTCCAGTGTGGGGACCTTCATTTAGGTGAGGCACTGTATCCAGAGGAGGGAGCCAGGATGGTGAGGAGACAGAAAACTACCTCGTAGGAGAAAGTGATGAAGAAACTGGGGTTATTTAGCCTGCAGAAGACAAGGTAAAGTAATAGACTGTGTAGTTCTGAGTATAGGTTTGTTCCAGTTGGGGGCAGAACATGCACCAGTGGATAGAACTTAGAAGGAAAGATTTTTGTTCGATAAAAAACTGCATTTTCTAACCTGTACAGGCAAAGTCTGGAAAGATCCAGAGTTTTATAAAAAGATTTCTTCACATGGCAGAGAGTTGAGGTCGAAGATCATAGTTATTCCTTTCAATGTGAGGTTCTTAGAGTTTGTTACAAAGTCACAAACTCAGGATGTCTTTAATTGATACTTTAATAAATTTGCTTGTTCAACAAAGAGTTACTGAGTACTGAGTACTGTGTCAAGCACTTATCTGGGTAAACTGCAAAGAAGAAAATATACAAAAATTTCTGCCCACAGGAGCTTCCATTTGGTGGAAGAAGCAGACAGTAAACATGATATACTTGTAAAACATATAGTATGTAAGGACAAAGGAGAAAATAAAACAGGTGGTATAAAATATGTAAGGAGCTCTGGTAGTGTAGTGGTTATGAATCGGGCTGCGAACCTCATGGTCAGAAGTTCGAAACTACCAGCTGTTCCATGGGAGAAAGATGAGGCTTTCTGCTCCCGTAAAGATTTACAGCCTTGGAAACCCTGTACAGGGTCGCTATGAGTCAGAACCGACTCCATGGCACAAAATAACAATAAAATGTGTGGCTATAATCAAAGTGCAGGTAGGTTGTTCAGGATGACATTATTGAGAAGATGGCAAAATGAAGAAACTGAGAGGCTGAGTTATGTGGGTATCAAGGAAAAGAGTATTCTTCTATCTCAAAGAAACTCTGAAGTGGAAGTTGGCTGACATGAAGACCAGTCAGTACAACTGGAGCAGAGCAAGTGAGAGGAAAATTAGTAGGAGATGAGGTCAGAATGGTAATGTGGTGGGACAGCATGCAGAATTTTTTAGGTCATAATAGAATTGGGCTGTATCTCTATTGTAGGATTTTGAGCAGAAGAATGATGTGATAGACTATATTTTAACCACAACTCTAATTGCTGAGCTGAAAATAAGCTGTAGAGAAGAAAAAGTGAAAACAGAGAGATAAATTAAGAAGCTATTTGAATAAGCCAGGGTATAGGTGATGATGATTTGAAACAGGCTGGTGGGAGCCATGGAAGTAAGGAGAAGTAGCTAGATTCTGGATATACTCTGAAGAAGGTAGAGCCAACTGGCTTTTCGGGCAGATTAAGTATTAAGTGTGAAAGACTAAAGGAATCAAGGTGAGTCCAAGTTCATGCCCCAAGTCACTAGAAGATGGAGTTGCCTTTTACTGAGACGGAGAAAGTGAAAAATAACAAGAACCAGTATTGAGGTGGGAAGAAATGGAAAACTTCAGGGCAGATTAAGTCCAACATGCCTATTAGTAACTCAAGTAAAGTTGAGTCTGGCATTAGGAGAGAGGTTGAGATGGTATGTGAAGCTGTCAGATGAAATGAGATCGTCATAGTAGGATCAGTCTATTGGAGAGAGAAGCTGTAAGCTAGGATCTAAAATCTTCAAGGAATGAGGAAAGAGACCTAGAGGGAAAATATTAACTGCAACAGGCTGGGATGGTGGGCAGTGACATCTGATAGTATAAGATTCAAAGCTGGAAAGTATTGTGGGGGTGTTGGGAAGAATAGATTTCAAAATGACAATGAGGGACAAGGAAGATACTAACTCTGGCTTAATGAACAGTTTCATCTGTGGCATCTAACATGAATTTCCTAAGGCCTAATACTAGGGTATTTGCTAATATATAGGCCTTTACCCAGTGTGGCACTGTGGGCTAATGCGTCAGACTGCTAAGTCATTTGAACTGCAAGGTCGGTGGTTTAAGCTCACCAGTTGCACCTTGGAAACCCTATACAGGGTCGCTAAGGGTTGGAATAGACTTGACAGCACTTAACAACAACCCAGAATCCTGGTTATGCCAAAGAACTATTAGAATAATTTCTCATCCAGACTAGGACATTTTGGAAGTAAAATGTGGTCAGTGCAACAGAAGGGGAGGTGTAAAGTGAAACTCTCCTAGGTCCCCTAACTAGAATGCATGTAGTATTTCATCTCATTGCACCTCTTTCTCTCCTTGACTGTCCGGGATAAGTCTATAGTGTTCCTGGGCCAGGACTGAGCTAAGGAAATAATTCTTTATCAGAGAAGCTGCGTGTCAGACAATGGATGAAATTTCCATATCGTAGATTACCACTGAGTCCATACTTTTCTCAGCTCATAGAGATCTGAACATATGTATACACTGAGGTGCTACTAATGGTAAGGGACCTTTTTGTTTATAGAGAACCATCATCCTCAATAAGAACAAATTCCTGTCAGAGTATATACTTCTGATGGTCATTAGATGACAGAGGATCAATGGTTTTCCAGCATTTGTTTCCTTTTTTTGATGATTTGTGTGATGCAAAGAACGTTCCATCCCACTAATCTTGGACGTGGGTGACATAAACCAATCTGCCTAACTGGTGCAGCTCACCCTTATTCTCATCCATCCTTTCCACTGTGGGAAGTTTAGTTTCTCTCACTTCTCAGGGCTACATAATGCTGTCCTTTGTCAGCTGAGTTTCTACTACCATTAGCAGGTTATGTGCCAGAATTGAGTAGGTTGATCTAAATGTGCAAGTCCCCTTTCTGCTCTTTGATTCTATGTGTATGAATTGGGGCTTTGTTTGTTTGTTTGCTTGCTTATTTTCCCTTAAATCTTGGTTGTCTGTTTGCAGTTATGAGTCTGCACTGCCATCGAGCCCCACTGGCTATTATAAAGCAGCAAAGGTTGGAGGGTAGGATGTACTCCCTAAACCTCTGAAACTTTGCTCTTAATAACATCATTGCATTACCTGAGCCAGCCAGAGTTTGGAGATAAACTAGAGCCCAGAGCCCAGATATGAGTTAAGATTAAGTAAATGAGTCTTTTAATTATCAAGAGGCAAAGGCTGCTGTGCTTCTTAATGCTCTCGCCTCACCTGCTAGACAGTGACACCAATCTGTCCACTCTTGTTGACCACAACTTAGTCTCTTCTATGATGGCACCTTACCCTCTATTCTTGAGAAAACCATTGGCTCATGTTGGACAGAACATCAGTCAAGTGTTTGTTTGTTCAGCATCTGATTCCCCCTTCCTAAAAAAAAAAAAAAGCTATGTCCTCTCATGTATAGTCTTGGTGTGGTAATGGTTATGTGCTGTGGAGTCAGGTCCAATTCATAGTGACTCTGTACAGGGTTTCCGAGGCTGTAAATCTTTACAGGAGCAGAAAGCCTCATCTTTCTCCTGCAGAACAGCTGGTGGTTTCGAACTACTGATCCTGAGATTAGCAGCCTGATTTGTAACCACTATGCTACTTGATGTAAAAGTTTCCTCTCATTTCAGAGACTAAAAAAAAACAAATCCTTTTCCTCCCCTTGCCCCCTTCATTAACCCATCACCACAACTAAGAACAAGCTAAGCCAATCTGGATGTAAAGGATATAGGTAAAGTCAAATGCCATTTATAGCAAGAACACAAGAAGCAGTTCTGATCAGACTCTTCCTAAGAGCAGATTTGTGCTACCAAGCTCTCTGGAGATTCCTTGGAGCCACTTTCAAGCCCTTTTCCTCCACCTCCTGTTCTCAGTGAATTCCCTTATGCCTAACTAGCCAGGATAGTTTCTCATTCCTGCAGCCAAGAATCTTCACTGACACATATGCCCACTCAAGGCCTGATAGATGTACACTAGACAAAGGGGCCACTCATTTGCCTTTCACGGTCTACATAGAACTACATCAACATTTCAAGGTCCAGTTTTTCTCCTTGCCACAAGACTGTAGCCAGGGGAGATGACAGTAGAGCTACTATTTGTAATGCCTCTTCTGAATATCAGGCAAGTTTTTAAGGCTCATATCCCAGATAAAGAAGGAGACACGGGGATCTGTACACTCAAAGCAGGCACAATGGAGCAAATCAGCAGCAACATCCATTCCCCCCACTTAAGGCCAGAATGGCTTTTAGTCTCTCCATCTGGAAAAACAAGGTTATTGTCTGCCAGTCTTGAGTGTCATGGGATTCATTAATATCTGTTAGCACAGTGCTTTGATATCAGAAATTACTAGGTAAGTAGTGAACTTTTTGCTAATGGACATAGATGGGCTCAGTGTTGAAGCTGGGCATTGAGATTTAGGAATTTGGCACAGTGCTGGGCTTGGAAAAATGAGGTTGCTCCTCTATCTCTAAGCAGTCATTCAAAGAAGGGACTGATGAAATAAGACTGTCTTGGGCCTAATTAACCATATTCAGTCATGGAAACAACAAACAATTTTGGAACCTGTCTTTCCTGTTGCTAATCCATTTTACAGCATCCAACATCTTGAGCAAGGAGCTCTGGTAGCATAGTGGTTACGAATCGGGCTGCCAACTACAAGGTCAGCAGTTCAAAACTACCGCTGTTCCGTGGGAGAAAGATGAGGCTTTCTGCCCCCGTAAAGATTTACAGCCTCGGAAACCCTGTACAGGGTCGCTATGAGTCAGAACCGACTCCACGGCACAAAACAACAACAACAGCAACATCTTGAGGCCTCCATTCAAAAGGCAGCTAGATGCTGCACTCTGCCCTGGAAGCCAGTGCTAGGAATTTTCCTCCACTGCCCAGGTCTTATCTCCCAAACATGATCCCTCTTCCTGGTGAACAGCCCTGCCCCTCTTCGCTGATCAGAAGCAGGTTGTCAGCTGTGGGCAGAGGTCTCACTGCCTCCAACATCAGTTTCTACGGCATTTGTCTACATACACTACTTGGGCAGCATTGAACACGGTTAAAACCAGTTCATACAAGACTGGTTTATTATTAAACTTATATCACTGTTTTAAACAGAAGGAGAAAGAAAAGAAAATTAAAGAAAAGTTTGGAGGTATTGGCAGGAAGGAAGCCATGAATATATCTCTGGGTGGGGGCCTTGGTTGAACTTGTATTTCCTAGGGAATTAGCAGAGGTTATTTAATCCAAAGAGTGACAAGATGATGGATGGACTATTTGGTAAGAGATGTGATATTGGGGTGAGATTGGAGAAAGGGCAGGAAAGTCATGTCAAATAACAGTTACTTCCCATGGAGTACAAGGAGGTGTTCCATGAATAGAAAGAATGAACAAGGGAATGTTGGTTTATAAAACCTTAATACTTCCTTGAAAATCAGAGCCAAAGGCTAAGGATTTAGGTCTTATGGAGGTAGCTTAAGTTCTACCAGGTGCTTTGGTATGTTTGTACATGGGGTCTGTAGAAAAATGCTCTGACTAGCCAACAGAGGTTGATGTAGTTCAGTGTTAAGATCATAGGTGCTGCCGAGGGCCAGCCTAAACCTAGGTTCAAATCCCATGTTCAGCAGTTGCTTGAGCATGATTCTGGAGGATTTTTTTGTTGTTTTTGTTTTGTTTTGTTTTAAAGTTATGAAATAATAATGCTAGTAGTATTTACTTCAGAAAAGCTGTCTTAAAGAACCAATGAAATCATGCAGGCAAAGCACTTGGCCAGTGTCTGGCATACAGTAAGTGCTCAAAATGTATTCGTTAAAATGACTGGCATCAATGCTGAGGCACAGAACATATGCACTGAACACAGAGGATAGAAAGCAAATCATATAAAACCTTTGCCTCCAAAGGATTTAGATTCTCATGGGAAAGACACTTAATAAACAAGAAATACTTACCACAAAGCAAGATGAGTACCTACAAGATGTCTTGCTCCAAACTTAAAGGGTTTGGAGTAATCAGAGCTGAAGTGGAAGATGACAAAAGTCAAGTCTTCTAGTTCTATCAGAATCTGGCAAAATGACACACTCTGCCTACCCTCAATGCAGCCACCCAGTTATCAAGGTGGAGGGAGTCAGGACCTAATTATTAACCCTGTGTGGTTGGTATATGGATTGGATGAGACTAAGGAGCAATCACATATGTTATATGGTTGGGAGCTTATAGTTGATTTGTTGGTTTTTTTCAAATGAGACTCCTGACTGAATATTTTCTCCCTCTCTTTCTTCTTTTTAAAATTCCAACAACCAGAAAACCATCTAGTTTTCCAGAGTCCCGGAGTCCTGGTCTATATACCACGTGGACATTATCCACTTCCTCTGTGTCCTCCCAAGGCAGCTTCTCAGAAGGGGATCCCCGGCAAAGCCGTCCCTTCAAGTCTGTCTTCGTGCCCACAGCCATAGTCAACCCTGTGAAGAGCACAGCCAGCCCAGGGACTGTAGGACAGGGGACCCTTCGGAAAGGGCGGAGCAGCATGAGAAAGAGTAAGTGGTGGCAAAGAGGTACGTGCCTAGAGCTAAGCAATGGGAGAGTCTGTACCTGGGATCAACCGATGCTTGTCTCACAAACAAGGCCCTTAGCTTTAGGAGGTGCCTCTGAGACAGTGCTTTACAATTCCCAAATGATGAATTGTTTTACTGACTGAAGCCAGGCCAACTCCAGGGTGCTGCCCCTGGTCACTTCATACTTGCGCATTGATTGACCGGGGTGATGGCAGCCCTGAGAGCCAACATGTATATAAAACATAGATGGATGCTGGTTCTTATCAAGACATAACAGCCAGAGTCCTTGGCTGGGTCAGTGGTTCTCAAACTATGTTTCCAGGGAACTTCTCAAAGGGTGCCAAAACAGAAAACAAAAAAAAGATAGATAATAAGGAAGAGAGGGCAAAAGAGAACTTAAGGAGACTATGCTCTGAGCTCCTAAATCCCTTTGTTATTTAAGTAATACATTCACAGGGTAAATATACATATATATTTGTTGTTGTTGCTATTAAGTGCCCTCAAGTCGGTTCCAACCCTTAGCAACCCTGTATAGGGTTTCTGAGGAACAGCTGGTGAGCTTGAACTGCTGATTTTTCTGTTAAAAAAAAACTTTGCAGTCCAGCATATTAACCCACAGCATCACACAAGGACTCTGTGTGTGTGTGTATGTGTGTGTATATGTATGTATATATACACAAGAAGCAGCTAGCAGCTGATAAGTTTGAAGTGCCAACCTTATGGTTCAAACTGACCTTGCTGTGGTCCAGTGTTTAACCTTCAGTGCCACACCAGAACTCCATGTATATATGGTGGTGGCGGTTATGTGCCATGGAGTCGGTTCCAACTCATAGCAACCCCCCATAGGGTTTCCAAGGTTGTAAATCTTTACGGGAGCAGAAACCTCATTTTCTCTCGTCGAACAGCTGGTGGTTTGAAACTGCTGACCTTGATGTCAGCAGCCTGACTTGTAACTACTACGCTATCAGAGCTCCATATATATGTATATTTATATCATACAAATGCAAGTCTCCTTTATATCCAGAACCACCATCCCAATTCTCTTCCATATGTGTATGTACTTTCTTATCATTCTCTCGGCACTAATTCTGCACCTTGCTTTAGCTTTTACATAACATCCACTTAGTACACATAGATCCATTTCAAGAGCCATACTTTTGTCTCTTAACATATCAAAATTCTTCATGTGATTTCATTCCCAAGTGTTTGAAATCCATTGTCCTACAAAACATCAAAGTTCTATATTCTTAGACTTCTCTAGAAGGAAAAGAGCCAAGAAACGTAAATATGATTTATTCTGTACCCCTTGATTTAAACTGGGGTCTGTAATTCTTTTTTGCTACCTTAAAAAAAAAAAAAAGAGTAAACACGGAAATGCCATACATCAGCCAAAGTAAAAGAGGAACATGTGGGACAATATGACACACAGGAAATTTTCATCAGAAAAAAATAGAGTATTTATTTTAGCTGCACTTTCTCAATGCTTTCATCTGATGGCCATTTTGACCATCATTCCCTCTATCTTCTCACTACTTCATCCTTCTATCCTTCCCCCTTGATATTTTCTCCCCTCAACAACAACAAAAAAATGTAATCCCACCACCACAGATTTAGACAAGTTAGTCTTCAATTTTCTGGTTTTTCATTTATAAAATAGAGATAAAAATAATATCTACCTCATTGGGATTTGTTGTTAAGTGCCATCAAATTGGTACTGATTCATAGAGACTTTGTATACAGTCTCTGAGGCTATAAATCTTTGCAGGAGCAGAAAACTTCTTCTTTCTCTTGAAGAGTGGCTGGTGGGCTCAAACCATCGACTTTACGGTTCAAAATCCAGTGCTGATCCTACAGAGCCACTCTGTTTCCTTCATTGGGATATTGTATGGATCTAATGAGAAGAATCCATATAAAGCTGATGGCATAGTGAAGTGTTGTTAGTTGGCCTAATGTTAATTCTGACTCGTGACAATCCCTGTGTGCAGGATAGAACTGTTCCATTAGGTTTTCAGGTTGTGACTTTTTAGAAGCAGATTATCAGTCCTGTCCTCTGAGGTACCGGTGGGTGTGTTCAAACCACCAGCCTTTTAGCTAGTAGTCAAGAACTTAACCTTTTAGACCAGCCAGGGGCTCTTGTTTGTATTGCCATTATTTTCTTGGCATTATCATTGCCACTCTCACTAAGCAGATCATTGTTTGGCCTATTGAGAGCATGAACTCAGTGTTAAAATGTTCACACTCTGTATAGACCCCTTGTGAAAGCAGAGACTCACATCTCATTGGCAACTGTGCTTACTTTCTTTACTACTCCTCAACCTTCGCATAAATCTTGATTGACTAAGAGCTTTGTCCACTTGTATTGTATGTGCATGTGATAAGAGAGCATGAAACCTCTTGGAAATTAGGAATTGACAAGATAAATAGGTAGGGCATAAAACCAATTCTTCAGACGTCTGTTGGGCTGAGCCTATGGGCATGGTTGCCCAGTGCTGCTTTGACTGGTTTTTTAAGTCCGGAGGCTTTCACTCTCTCTCTTTTCTCAAGGTGAGACTGGTCAAGCTATCAGTCTTCCCAGAGTAAAAAAAAGTGACAGGAGAATTGAGTGCGAGCAACTCACAGGGCTGTCAGTGCAAAAATAAATGTCTAAACGGAAAGGTCAGACTTGTGTAAACGGTGACTGGCTTGATTGCAGCAGCTGAAAACACTGACTGTGTTTAGTAAATGTTCAGATGTTCATGTCCACATCCAGCTTGATGGAGATCCACAGTGTGGAACGTGGCCTTGATGTGGGCCCCTTATGCTGCATACGAATGACTGTGATTCAATCACATGTCCATGGAGTACCGCTAAGAACCAACATCTCCGATCGGGACAGTACCTATACTCTAAATGCAGTAGTCCCTGATGGAGAAAAGGCCCACAATGCTCGCAGGATCCCCCATACTTCCCAGACTGCAGAGAATTCCTAACTCCACAGGTCACCTGCAAGACATACACTGGAGGTGTGAAGGAAGACACAGCTTAGTTTTACTGAAGGAGGATTATCTCAATTTAAAAAAAAAGCTCAGGGAAGAGGGAAACTTCTATACTTTGCATTTTTATGGGTTGCAGTGGGCTAATGAGTCAGACTGCAAAGTCATTTGAACTGCAGGGTCGGTGGTTCAAGCTCATCAGCTGCTCCTTGTAAACTCTATAGAGGGTCACTATGGGTCGGAATTGACTCATCAGCACTTAACAACAACAACAACAACAATCCTTTACCAAAACAGTTAATACACTTAGTTTCCAACCAGAATGTTGGAGATTTAAGTCTACCAAGAGATACCTAGAAAGCAAATCCTGGAGATCTGCATCCAAAAGATCAGCCATTGAAAACCCTATGGAATTCAGTTCTATTCTAAGAACGCATGTTGTTACCCTGAGTCAGAATTGACTTAGTGGCAACTGGTTTTATCTTTTATTCAAAATATCCTTTAATCAAAAATAATGAAAGCCAACAAACACAGGGCATTTATTACGCGCCAGTCGCTGTCCTAACTCTCTGCACACATCATACAATGCAATCTTCACAGCAGCCTTATGAGGTGCAGATACGATCATGATTTCCAGTTTACAAACGGGAGAGCTAATGTAGAGAAAGGTGACGTGACCTACTACTACAAACCCAAGGTTCCCTGGGAGTCAACGTGATTCCAAATCCTGTGTTAGAAGACTTTGCAAAGCTCATCCACACACAGAGTTCTGGAATCATCTTTCTGAATTTTCTTTTGTCTGGTGCTACATTTGCTTAGTACATACAGTGTCTTAATTTGACTCTCCTTTCTTTCCCCCTAGCCTCCCTACTCCATACACAAAATGTGATTCCACCACCATATGACTAAAGTTTCTGTTAGAATTTTCCATCAGCAAATAATTTATCAGAATCCTCCTCTCTTTCCCCCTCTCCTTTCCCTTCACCCTCTCTCATCCTTCTTCATCGTGTTTATTAGATTTCTCAATGTCTGCTCTTTCTGTTTCTGTCTCATGTTTCCTCATTGGTGTACATGCCTCTATATTTTTTTTTCTCACTGGAAAGCTATCTCTTTATAGCTTTGTTTTGCTCTCCATCTTAAAGGTCTGGAAGGCTAGAATAGACAGTGTGCGTGAGAGAGAGAGAGAGAGAGAGAAAGTAAATGGAAGTCATTTACTTTCTGTTTGTCTTCTGACACCCACCACATCCTCAGCACTCCGCTAGCCAGTTATTTGCTGCCAGCATCAGCAAAGAGCACTAAAAAAAGAATAAGGTCACCTCTGAAAGACCCCGAGAGAATGTGAGTGCGGTCATATTGGGAAAGCACTTAACAATTTCGGGCTATCAGGACATACTGCTTACCCAGCCCTGCTGTCAGCCGGCTTGTTACTGATATCTTGTCATATAATTCCCTCAGATGGATCCCTGCAGAGAACCGTTCAGTCAGGGATCCCCACTCTTGTGGTGGGCTCCCTCAGACGCAGCCCGACCATGGTTGTGAGGCCACAGCAGTTCCAGCCTCAGGGGATTCCCACCTCACCCTCTGCCATGTTGGTGGAGATGGGACCCAAGGCTGGGGAGCCTGCCCTCACCTGCATCAGCAGAGGCAGCGACACCAGGATCCACTCAGCGGCCAGCTCCCTAATCATGGAAAGCAAGGAAATTCCCATCAAGAGTGAGCCTCCACTCAAACCACCTGCATCTGCTCCACCCTCCATCCTAGTGAAACCAGAAAACTCCAGAAGTGGCACCGAAAAGGTAGGAGTTGGGCAACATAAGTGGAGCTGACTTATTAGAGCCTCAACTTAATATTTATAGAATTTCCTACATGGTGTCCAGGCACCTGAGATGTTAGTGTTGGTGGCAGGGAATCAAAATATGATAATCCTCACACACAGTCCTGTCTCACCTCCCATCCCTACATCTCTCATGTCCTCCCCAGATGTGTTACTGATTTTGTTTTACAAATAAACTATATATTTATACATATTTCTCTCAAGTCCAGTAGTAATTTGGGAAGAATGTGGTTTTGGCATCAGACATATCGTGGTTTGAACTTCTACTCCGTTGCTTCTAGCTGGGTGATTTTGACCAAGACACTTCATCTTTTTTCCTAAAAATGTGGGTATGGATAGTAACTATCTCATAGGGTTAGAATAGTTGCAGTGAAGATTAAATGAGATAAGATGTATAAAGTGCTTATATGAGGCTTGACACATAATTATTCACTGTATTAATAAAAAAAAGAAAAGAAACTGAGCCACAGGGGAATTTAAATAACTTGCCAATGTTTCACTCTCTGATTTATGACGACTTTAATAACTGGTGTTGAGCTTATGACAGAGGTCAAATCCATTAACTTCTTCTAATCCCGGACTTTTCTCCACTAGAAGACATGAGGTTTTGTGTGTGTGTGTGTTTGAAGCATTTGTTGGGAGCATTTATTGGGAAGGAGGAAGTGACATTAACAAATTAGGTGAGGCTCATCTTTTTTAATTAATTGGACATCACCACCACCATTACTTCACCACGACACCACCATCTCCAGCACCAGGACTACTGCCACCACCTGTTGTCGTAATTAAGTGCCATCAAGTCAATTCCAACCCATGTATTCCTGTATAGGGTTTCCAAGAATTTTTTTTAAATCTTTGCAGGAGCAGAAAGCCTCATCTTTCTCCCATGGAACCTCTGGTGGTCTTGAACCATGGACCTTGTGGTTCGCAGTCCAGTGCTTATTTATGGAGTCACCACACTCCCCACCACCACCACCTGGTCCCAAAGAAAGTGAACAAAGGATTTGTTTTCCTCCTCTTGGTTTGGCATTTATTGACTATTAATGACCTGGCAGGCAGCATACTGAGTACTTTACATGTCCCATCTCATTTCTTCCTGACAACCACCCTCTGAAGTAGGAATGATTATTCCTATCCTTATTTTCTAATGAGAAAATGGAAGCTTAGAGTGTTAAAGTATGTTACCCAAGGCCACACAGCTGATATATACGAAACAGGTAGAATTCAGATCTGATACAAAAATGCATGCTCTTAATGCTAAGCTATAAGCTTGTAGGGAAAGCATTTGGAGAAAAAAGTGTCCAATGATGCAAGTGGTGAGAGTTTTTATTCTGAATTATAGTAGCCAAATAATTCAAAGTTTTCCAAGTTTCAGTTGTCCATTATCCTATATTATTAGATACAGCCCTCAGACTATAAGTACTTAATAAGTCTCATACCTCTGCTACATGTGGTGATGGTCAATTAAATTCTTTTTTTCAATCTATTTCATCAGAATAAAATTAGATATATATGAAGAGGCTTAGATTCTCAATGGGAAGACACTAGGGTCAAATTTCATACTAAGCAGTACAACAAAGCACTTTATTAAACCCTATGGGCAATAGGAATACCTCTAGGTACCAAGCAAATATGTAACAGGCTAAGAGAGTAGAAGAAAAGAGAGAGAGGTGGGACTTGATACGACGCCTCTAATATAAAGGGGAAATACTCCTCCACTTCACCCTATTGTTGCCATAAGGAGGCCTATGGCCCAGGGTATCAGAGCTTCCATCTGTTAAGAGACATATTAAATCCTGGTTTTTATATGCAGTCTCTCAATTTTTATGAGTTGACAATGAAATCAAACTCTCCAACACTCTGCAGGCTAAATTCAGCCAGCAGGTATCCAGTTTGCAAACTCGGCTCTTAGAACTTAGAAGGCCTTTATGGAAAAGTTCTAAATAAGTCATTAGAGGAGGCCTCAAGGAAGACTTAGACCTTGATAATAGGCATGGAGGAGAGAGAAGCGATGAACATCTATTCGTTTCTGGAAGGGATCATATCCTCTTGCCTCAAGTCCTTTTCACAGGTGGTTTGCCTACCCCTCATATCCTTGATAATTCCTAATCCTTTTTCAATTTAATAACCCTCTCGACTTAAACAGCTCTGCCTCTGGGAAGCTTTCCCTGACTGCCCGACATTTCAACTTAAGTTGCCTACTCCTTATATTTAGCATTGTCTATGTTCGTCACCACAGCACTTGTTCTAAGTGTCCGTCAGGATAGTTGTGTTTAGTCTTGGATCCACAACATCTAACAGAGGATACAATGCATGGGAACCACTCTAGTGGGCACTTAACTCTTTGTGAATGAACACATACATGCATTTCAAGTCAGGGCAAGAATAACGATACAGCATGAAGCAAGTCTCAGAGGGAAACACTCACAGCACATGTCTGCCACCTCACTGTGCCCCTTTGATCTCCTTTCTCTTGCAGCAAGTCAAAACCGTGAGATTTCAGAATTACAGCCCTCCTCCCACCAAACATTACACCTGTCATCCCACCTATGGAAAGTCTGAACAACCAACCACCCCTAAGGGGTCCCAGCCCGAAGCAACCTTCTTGGGCCCAGAGATGAATATCCTATTCGCCCACCGAAGCGGCTGCCATTCCGGACAGCAGACAGACCTCCGGAGAAAGTCAACTTTTGGCAAAGCCATGACTCCAGCACCCAATGCCTCATCCACGCAGACCGTGTTTCCCAGCAAATGAATCTCCAGGTGGCTATTCCCAGACCCCAAAGAGGTGAATTGCATTTAAATACAATCTGCCTCCACTGCAGGTGTCTGCTATTCTTTGGTCTCTTTGAGCATGAGTCCTTGTTCTGCCCATTCCTGCTCACCTCCAAGAAAGGAAAGCTGGGAGCAGGTATTCCAGACCTGAGTGGGAGAAATAGAGGATTGACTGGGTAGCCTTCCAGACATACTGATTCCATGTAGCATGGCCCACCACTCAGATTAAGGAGTTGGAGAATGTCCTGCCCATTTGCTTCCCAGCATTCAAATGTGTGGCTTTTTATTCCATGTATTCTCTGTAGAATTTCCATGGTGTCCTAAAAGGGACTTTACCCATGAGCATTACACGATGGGAATGTTGGTATTGCTTCTTTGACATCATCACCATATTCTCTGTAAGCATTCGCAATGTTTCTGACATTTTCTTGGGTCTGTACACCAAGTGCTAGTTGTGGTTAGCGCTGCTGAGTCCGTTCCAACTCATAGCAAGTCTGTGTAGGGTTTCCGAGGAGCAGCCGGTGGGTTTGAACCAAACCTTGCAGTTCAGACCAACCTTGCAGTCCAGTGCTTACGCTAAAGTGTCACACCGAGACTTTCAAGTGCTAGTAGTCACTGTATTTTTGTCCCAATTGTATTGCCAGAGACACAGAGTTTTATGGGAGGAGGTTGGTAAAAATCCCTGGTGACACTGTAGTTAAAGGTGCTTGGCTACTAACCACATGGTTGGTGGTTTGAACCTACCAGCTGCTCCATGGCAGAAAGATACGGCATTCTGCTTCCATAAAGATTTACATCCTTAGAAACCCTATGGGCAGTTCTACCTTGTCCTACAGGGCCACTATTGATGTCAGTGGCCTTGGTTTTATGTTTTGGTTTTAGTTTTTGGTTGTGGGGAGGGGTGGTTGGGGAGAAGGGATGAGACAGATACTATGCACATTCTAAGAACCCTTTAAAACTAAAGGGAAATCAGCTTCCTGAGTTTGCAACAAACAAGACCAGAGAAAAAGCTGACTACCAAATATCAGAAGATTCTTATAGTTTATGTTTCTCCGTCAGTTTTCCCACATATAGTCACACACACTAGATAAGCAGGAAGCATTTCACTGTACATAGGGTCTTGCCTACTTTTAAAACCCAAACCAAGCCCATTGCCATTGAGTTCATTCCAACTTATAGCACCCCTACAGGACAGAATAGAACTGCCCCTTGGGGTTTCCAAGTCTCAAAATCTTTATGGAAGTAGAAGACTGTCACATCTTTCTCCCACAGAACAGCTAGTAGGTTCAAACAGCTGACCTTTCACTTAGCAGCCAAGCACTTAGTTACTGCACCACCAGGGCTCCTTCTGGATGGTGTTAAAGACAATATATCCTGCTTTATACTCTGACTTCCCCAAGAAAAAAACACCATGCTTGAAAACAACCTTGTGTTGGTTTGAGTTTAGATATTGTTGTTAGGTGCCATCGAGTCGATCCTGACTCATAGCGAAACACTGGCTAGTCCTGGGCTAACCTCACAGTTGTTGCCATGCTTGAGCCCACTGATGCTGCCACTTGGCCAATCCGTCTCGCTGGGGATCTTCCTCTTTTTCTCTGAACCTCCACCTTACAAAACATGATATCCCTCTCCAGCAATTCGTCCTTCCTGACCCAGCTTCTCAGATTATATCCTGGCCTCCAAGGATCACTCTGGCTGCACTTCTTCCAACACAGATCTGTTGGTTCATTTGGCATCCCATAATATTTTCAATATTCTCCTCCAACACCATAACTCAAAAACATCATTTCTTCTATGGTCTTCCTTATTCACTGTCCAGCTTTTGTATGCATATAAGGCTATTGAAAATACCATGACTTGGGTCAGGCACACCTTAGACCTCAAGCTGACATCTTTGCTCTTCAATATTTTAAAAAGATCTTCTACAGCAGATTTGCCTACTGTAATACTTTGTTTGATTTCTTGACTGCTGCTTCCATGAGTGTTGATGGTTGATCCAGGAAAAATGAAGTATTTGACAACTTCAATATTTTCTCCATTGGTAAGAATGTTGTTTATTGGTCCAGTGGTGAGGATTTTTGTTTTCTTTACATTGAGATGCAATCCATACTGAAG